CGTTCAAGTCGGAGTCATTGTTGTAGTTCATTCACGTCGCACTAGAGAAGAACAATGGGCTATTGGCGACGGTCTGGGAAACATCTCTGAGGATGATCCGAAGACATGCCATCACAATTTTGATCCTCTGCAGAGGGGATGGCACCTCGCTTCGGTAGCCCGACGACCTGCACCGAAGTCGTGCACTTTACGGTAGAACAGTTTAACGAGGACCGATACCGCACACTCTCGGTCCTTACGCAGACTGATCCAAGTGGTCACCCACCCGCACACTGACTGCAGCCAGTGATGCTTGACTTCGGTGATCTGCTGGGAATCGTGTCTTAACGATCAGTCCACTGCGGGACTCGGAGTCATTGTGTCACAAAATTTGGAGTCTGTGTTAAACATTCAACTGCTGATTCCACAGCTCTGCTTTAAACTTTAACAAATAACGCCATTTGTTCAACAGGGAAATTTTTGCATGAATTCATTATATGATGATCAAGATTAAATAAACAAAGCAATTTCAACAGCAATTCTTCAGAAATTAATTATTTTATTAAAGAAATAAACCGTCAGATTTTCCATTTTATCATAAGTTAATTAAGGTGAGGTCGTTAAATCCGTGAGGGGAACTGAGTCAAAGGAGGCTTTATACCATTAAATGGGTTTGGTTATTGCTGAAAATTAATGATAATTAAAGGAGAGAAAAAAAGGACATTGCTCAGAAAATACACGAAAAAAGTTCATTAGTAGAGTAATGCTCACAGGAAGTATTTCCGGGAGAAATTACATCCCATGAACATTAGAACCGCAATAGACAAAACAAATTATTTACCAATAGTTGATAGTTTAAATGATCTGGACTCAAAACAGGAAAATGTTGCTCAGAAACTACAAAAGCATATGTGTATCAATGATTACTTTATAAAAAACATATGGTATTACATGACCGGAAACCGGATAACTCAGCTTCCAATTTAGAGGTTTAAAAAAAAAAACTAATTTACGATAGTAAACAAAGTGACAAAGAATTTAAGACTCCTTTTTCTTTGAAAAACTGTAAATGTATTTATTAAAGAACAACCATCTTTTTTTTTCTTTATGAAATATGTTTAAATAAATTTTCAACTTGTGATCAAAATACATTAATTTACTCTTGTATAATTTGTTATAGAAATTACCTTAATACATATTATCTAATTAAAAATTAAAAGTCTAATTATATAAAAAATATTCTTAAAAGTCACTATTTATGAAATGTATTTATTTAAAAATGTTTTTTTAATTACATTTACAACGACGCTATTAAATGAAATTTAAAAAAAATTGAAAACAAAATTAAAAAGTTAAAAATTTAAAAAAAAAACAAGAATACTGAAAGTGGTAATAAAATATAGTTATTGAAAAAGTGGTAATTTAGATATAGTTATTAAAAAACTTATTTAATTGGATTCGAGAATGCAATTAGTAGATAAGTAGGGAAAAAAAGAAATGTGATTTAGATAATTTGTTGTTAATTTTTTACATTCGAGGGGAAAAAATTAAAATCAATTTACGGTAAAAAGTACAAGATGTTATTACTTTTTCCTTAAATCCATTTTTACCGGAACTTGCTACTGAACGAAAAATCTGATGTACCATATTTTTTACAGTAATAATTACAGGGATATCACTGAATCACTCTGCTTAAATAAATAGCACTGTATAAATTACGGTATGAAATTTTACGGTAAAAAGGAGTTTACAATAAAATGGATTTTATAGACGAAGCACTGAACCTTATGTATGTTTAAGTGCCGTTACTTTATACCCTAATTTGACTTCCGGAATTTTTTACAGTGCACTCCTACCAAATTTGAAAATACTGTTTCGGGTAAACCTTATTTGCAACTTTTATTGATAAATGGCAAATTTGAAAGTTGCATCGATAAATGCTATTTTGTTTTAAATTATTGTAACAAATAACGTTCTGAGTGATTGAAGATTAAGGAACATTTTCATGAAATTTTAAAGTTCATGCGTTGACAATCATTATACTGAATCATCTGATCTGATTGCGTTCTGGCTTTAGCCATCTCTTCGAGTTAAAATTGCTCCCAAAGGAAAGAAATTTCTTTAAAGTTACTCGTTGACTACTTGGTGTCAAATGTTTTTGAAAGTTCTTTATTTGTAACATCGTAAAAAAGTTAGAAAGTGCTAAAAGACTATAAAAACACAAAAACTAATAAAACAAAAAATTTTCTCTCCTATATGTGTGTGACAATAGTAATCAGATTCAAGATCTGTGTGCAAAATTCAAGCCACAAAAGATTGGGGTGACAAATACTTTAGATTAATCAAAATTAAGCGTTTTAACGTAAGATGATGACAGTTACAACAGAAAAATAATGGCAAATCTACAGAAAAATATACTCTTAGCCATCTTCATTGTGCTTTCTTGAGATTACTCTGGGGGATTTTTTGTTGCATTAATACAAATACTTAATTTTGTTTAATTCAGGTGCAGGGTTTTCAAATCTGAAATTAATATCACGTAAATGTTGCGATAAACTTATAAAAAAGTTAGGGCATATCATCAGACTTAAAATTGCATAGGAACCCAAGCCCGGAAATGTCGTCATAAGCGGATAGATGTGTTTGCCTACTGTGACCTGTTAAGAAGTGACCCTAGAGGCGTAAGACGACATTCCCGGACATGGGTACCTATGCATTTTTGAGCCTGAGCTCTAACTCCCTTAGAAGTTTGTCGCAAAATTTACGTAATGTTTTGCTATATATAGTATTTTCAAACTTGTATATTTCGACAAGAAATATATTATAAATATTATTTTTAAAAACAAAAATGTAGCTCGGAGAGGGAAACGAATTGCAGATTAGAAATCAGTGACGCAAAAGCTTTCCCAGTTTCGTTAAAAAAATCTCATGCAACAGGAAAAAAAAGTTTCCCATTGTTATCATTTACTTAAGAGCAGTTGAAAAATATAGTTGGTACAAAGTTTCGGGTACTGTAATAAAATCCAAAAACATATTTTGTTCCACGTGGATGCTGGATGCCAAAGCTTAGATCCAGCCCTCAATATCATGGTTAAATCAACAAATTCCGTCTTTTTTCTTTGATTTACCCAACAAATAAATATTTTATTTTCCGTTTTAAATCATCGATGAGGAAAAGAAAATGTAAAATATTTCGCCGTTAAACATTTTTTGAAACTAGATGAGAATGCAGAACAGAAAGAATTCAAGGTGTAAGATTTCAAAATGATGATATCGTTGATGATATTATTTCAGATGTTTACGAATCTACTAGTAAATTTAAATATAAAACTAAAGTAAAAGGCCTTCGAAATGAAGTAAAAGACTTCAAATTTCAAACCACTTAATGAAATTCCCTCAATAAACTAATACAAAGCACTGACATAAATTTTAACTCTGCTTCGTACGCATTGAAAGCAAGGCATAATTTTAAAAAAAACCTCAAAGATAATGGGTGAGATTTGAAAACTTCTGCTAAAGAATTAGTTGATAAGTTTGAAAAGTTGATAAGTTTGAATCTGAAACTCATTTTTCCATAATACCTATCTTAATGAGAAAAAGTTTAAGATTTAAAAAAAAACATTAAAAAAATAAATATATCAAGAAATAAGATAAGACCAACTTAATTATGATTGTTGCTAGAGAACTATAGAACCAAGAGAAAATTATCGAATATTTTTTTTTTTAATATTCTCATATACTAAGCAGTAATTGAATACCTCTTTCGATATCTAAAAAGGTTTGGATTCCTTTTTAACATTGTCGGACTGTTGAGAATTGACCGTGATTTAATAAAAAAAATTGCAATAATTTAGCGAGTGATTGCTTTAAGAATTTTTCTTACTTCTTTTAATGAGTTCGCAAAAACAACGAAGCATTGGAGGAAATATATCCATGATTTCGTAAAAAAAACTATAATTACTTACACACATTATGTTAATTATAAGGCAGTTTACAAGCTTTTCGAGCAGCAGAATTATCTATTAATGGAGAAAATCTAGCGATGATGATAAAATTGGAATGATGCAAGGGAGGAATTAATCATCTTTAATCTCAAATATGTTAAAATTTAAAAGTATTTGGACGAAAACATCCTTACTGGCAGTCTTCCAATTTTTTTGTAATATTCTTTTAGCCATTCATACAGCTGAATGTCCATTTCGACTGATAAAATTGCATTTGAATTAAATGTGATTAGTTGTTTCCTTTCATTTAATGCACTAATTTCTAGTGAGAATTATTTTATATCTTTATTGGATTTCTCTCTTTAAAATATTCTGGATTTCTCTCTTAATAAGCAATTCTGCTGTTCAAAAAGTTTGTAAATTGCTTTTCAGTAAACCTATGCATAATGTGTAAGTAATTATAACTTTTAAAATTTTATAAATTGAGAATGCGATTTCTCCAATGCTTTGTCGTTCTTACAAGTTCGTTAAATATATTTATCCAAATTTGTGTAATTCTAGGTATTGTTCAGATTGCGAGTTTCATTTTCAAATTTGTAGCATTTCATAAACATTAATATTCTTTTATTTTTTATGCCTTGGAAAATTTGATTGTGCTAAAAAAAATTAATTAGTTAGTTATTTGTGTTGCCCTTTTTAAAACTGATCATACCCCTGCTTTGACGCAACCATTTTCAGCGCGTCTTTACATTCACATTAAATGCTCTCATGTGAACGAATAAACTGTTATTTGCAATCCACGATGACAGGTTCTTAACTTTCTTTGTAACCCTGAATTTTGGCTCTTTTATCTATTTTTTATTACTGACGCTATTATTATACCACTTTCTATTTACACATTCAATTTACATGAAACGTAATCTATTAATATCTATGTTACTGATCTAGGTATTTATAATATTGCTGATTGATTTTTCTTTCTCAATTGAATGATCTCTTAAAATTCTTAAATTAATTTCATGATTGTATTTCTTAATTTTTTTACAAAACTTTATTAAAAGTGCTTACTTGTTTCAGGAAATGAGGAAAAATCTACATTTCACATGGATTACAGCGACGAAAAACGATTAGTCGATAAATTAATGAGAGGATACGATAACAGTGTACGACCAGTCAAAAATGCTTCAGATGCAATTGTTATAAGACTTGGAATAACTCTTACGCAAATTTTTGATTTGGTAAGTAAAAACATTTTAGCTAATTTTGTATATTCATGATTTTGCATACATACTAACATGTTGATACATGGTTATGAGATGTTTTCATTTGAAGTTACATATACTTTGTTTCATTCAATGAGTGCATAAGCAGTAACCATATGGTTATTGCTTATCTGTATTACATTTGTTTATAAAGGTTATAGATATATAACTTTATTTACTTAATTTCACTTGAACCCTGCACTAATATCTAAAAAACATGCAATCTGCAATAGTTTAGAATGGTTTTAAAAAGCTTTAAATCATCATGATCATTGTCAATCCTCAGCTCGTTAAAGATCTTATGCACACTTTTTAATTTTTTATTATATAACTTTTTAATATATTTTATTGAATAATCTGGTCTTTTGTTTAATTTATCATCAGGTTTTGTAACCTTATTTTAGTTATAGCAGAATGACATTGAACGGAATGTCTCTGTAAAAAAAATATGACTTGGTATATAATTGTTTTGAATTTTTTCTTCTAATTTGTTTGTTTTAATGTTCTTAAAAGCCTATGATGAAGAATATAAATAAACATTCATTAGTAAGATGGTGATTGATTTTCATGATAAATTAATAAGGCTGTCCAAAAACTATCACATTTATGATTCGAAGTAAAAAATATTATTATTGACCTTACCCATCTATGATTGTGACTTGTTTTAAATTACATTGTTTTTACAAACGATTATTACATTGATTGTGACTTGTTCAGAATTACATTGATTTTACAAACGAAGCAAAAAAAATTATGTTGACGAATTAAATAATTTCTATTATCCTATTTATATTTGAATGCGTGTTAGGCTATAAAAGTTTTACAAAAAAAGCAATTATTTATCGAGAAAAATATTTATACACAAATTGCTGGGAAATATTGCTTAATTGGACCACGTCCATTATTTTGTAGTTATTGACAGCGAAGTTCACTGATAAACCTGAGATTACGTGGAAAGGTAAACATCCGTTTTGAAGACGGAAATAGACCAATTAATTAGTTTTCAAGGGTATTCTGAAGATACGTGATCCATTTTGCCATCAAGTTCCAATATGAAAATTTTGTTTATGACGAATTATTTTAACCCCTCCGTTACTTATCACTTCACCCCTATTTGATTTGAGGTTTTCCGATTCGTCCCTCTTGGCTGCTTGCTAGTTTTCCATGTTATGCGTAGGCTACCAGTAGTACAGTTCATGAAGTCTGAAAATCGCAATCTTGGCCATGAGTAATTCACTTACAAGACGATATTAATTTACACTTTTCCTGTTATTTTATGCAAACCCTAGTTTTTAAACATTAATTCGGTGTTGAAAACAATTAGAAACACTAAGTTGCTGTAGTTCATTTACGTCGCACTAGAGCTGCACAATGGGCTATTGGCGACAGTCTGGGAAACATGCCTGAGGATGATCCGAAGACATGCCATCACAATTTTGATCCTCTGCAGAGGGGATGGCACTCTCGCTTCGGTAGCCCAACGATCTGCACGCGAAGTCGAGCACTTTACGGTAGCACAGTTTAACGAGGACCAATACCGCACACCCTCGGTCCCTACGCAGACTGATCCAAGTGGATCACCCACTCGCCCACTGACCGCAGCCAGTGATGCTTGACTTCGATGGAAGCACTAAGAAAATCATGAATTTTTAGGGTTTTGACAGATTTCATTTGAGGGTTGTTAGGGATTTTAAAAGTCACAATAACAATCATTAGACATGGGTGATTGTAACTGCAAATCAAAATTGTTCGATATTTTGTTTAGTATGAAAAATTATTAATGATTCTATATCACTTTAGACTTTTTATTAAAATTACTTTTAAATTACTTTAAAGAAGAAAAAAAGAAAAGAAAGTCGAAAAGAAAGAAGAGAAAAAGCACTTCTTTGGAGAACAAGAAAATGCTCTAATATCCACTTTACGATGTTAACGCTAAGCGGTGGCCACATAATAATGAAACATTTTCCTCCTGCGGCTTTCCTAATTTTCACTTAAAAAGCTGATACATTCTTTAATTTAATTAAACAGGCAAATTTTTTAAAAGGAAGTCAAAAAGAAAAAGAGAGTCAAAAAGGAAAATTTTTTAAAAGGAAGTTTATGATTTGAGAACTTAATTTATTTTCTTATGTTTTCTTTTAAGTATATTCAAGTTTTAAGTATATTTAAGTTAATTTTCATGTTTTCACCTCTGTTTAATAATTTAATATAAAAAAAATTATTAACTTCGAACATCCTATTGCTAACTTCTTAACTATATTACTTATTAAACATTTTTTTCATACACGCGAAAATATATTTCTCCTTTGTTTAGAAATTCAATATCAAAATATAATTAACTTCGGATCACCTATTCTAAGCTTTTGAAATATAACTCTCTGATTTCATTAAGTATGCTTTACTCAATAATATCTGCACCTACGAAAAAGTTAATTACTTAATTTTATTGTCATTACTTTTTTTTAAGAGACTCCACCATGTGAACGAAACATGGATATCAGTGAGATATTAACAGTATTATTTGATAATGTTTAAAACTGTGAGAAACTAGCGGCATTGATTCATATTTTGAATAGTTTCAGACTTAAAAAGCAAATAATCTGATTTATAACCAAATTTAAGGACACATTATCATATAGGTAAATTACCTTCAGTGAGACAGACTGACTTTCTATAAATGGTTTGATGATCTTATCATAAAAATCACATCGAGACTAATATTTAGCAAACTAATCAAGCTGTACTGTGAGTAAAACTTGAAAATTGGTGTTCACCCTGAACAACTTATCATTTTCCTATTTGGCTTAGAAATGCCAGAATTGCTGCTCTCTAATCGCTACCCAGTGGGGAACCTATTGCTAAGCCACAGCGGAGTAGCGTCGTCCACGTCATACAGCCACAAACCCGTTTATTGGGCGGATTACATTCACAAAATCACACAGAAGAAAGGACATGAAACACAGAGAAAGTTACTCCCATGCCTAAGGCGGGATTCGAATCTACAGCCACTGGCCCCGTTATTCAGTACAGTAACCACTAGACCAGTGATCGGTTAATAACTTAATATATAATGAATGGATTTTTATGTGCCAAGACGCAGTCTTAATGGTTCTGAAGCCTCGCCTTAAATATACAATCTAATTGGAGGAGACGATATTTTAAGATACGAAATTAGACACAAAGCGTACTTTGCTCGTAATAAATATGCCCTCTTTTTTTAACGGATTTGGATTCTTGACCCTCAAAATAGTAAAACGATAGCCCCCATTGTTAAATCCGAAGAGCAGTTAAAAGCTTACATCCCTTGATGTTGATTTAAATTTTTTTGTACACTATGAAACACTATAAAAAGTGGACTCTAAAAAATTCCGTATGAAATTACGGTTTAAAGTACCGGCATTTAGGTGCATCATCCGTAAAATTCATTTTAAGCATAAAATAGTGTACCGTTAATTTTTGAAGTAATATTTATTAAATTAGTGTTATTCAGTGATCTTACGGAAAATGTTACTGTAAAATTTTAATTTTTACAGTAATATTTATTTAATTAGAGTTATTCAGTGATTTTATGGTAAATATTACTGTAAAAATTACTTTATATCAGATTTTGTGTAACGCAACAATGGATTTTACAGTAAAAAGTAGCTTGAGAGTCTATACTTTCTACCGTAATTTGATTCAGAATTTTTTACAGTATATCTCGGGAATTGTTTAGCAAATATTAAGATGTTAGCTCACATAAGAAAATTTTTGGCCACAATAAAGTAATCAAATACGTATAATTCGTTTATCTAAAGATAATTTCCTGAAAAAATAATTTCTAAGAATTATTTTTATTTTCGTTTAACAGTAGTCGGAAAGCGTTTGAATTGTACGATAATTAAATTTTTAAATCATTTATACAAGACAATTATTTAATCAAGCATTCAGTACAAGACAAAGAAATACAATCAAACATTCAATACAAGACAAAAAACCCGATTGTAGCTTACAAGCAAAAAAACATTTATTCACTAGGAACTAATTAATTATGTAAAGCAATTTGTAATATGGAGCTTCAAGTTAAACATTTAAATATTGTAGATATGAAAAGATTAAAATAATCAGAAACTTGTTCAAAAAAGCTGTACCAAAACAAACACTATATAATTAATCTGTTGTTTCGTCATAATAAACATTGACAGTGATTACACTGACATTGATCAATGATACAGATAAATACCAATTTATCATAAACTCAAGGATCAAAAACACAATACAGACATGCGAGTTGTAAAAGAACAATTATTTACTGGAAACTATTTGGGAAAACTATCTTAAGGTAACAGAAATAAGAGCAAAACTTCTTTGAACTAAAGTTTAAAAACAAAATATAAGAAATTGGCGTTATTCTAAGTTCTTCTTGGAACTATTCTTAAATACTTCTTGAAGAATACTTCTTGAAGAGTGGTTTTTAAAGCCAGAATACATCATTAAGCGAACCGTTTAAGGCATAAAGCCTGCGGCAGACGACTCGTCATAACTTTTGAAAGTTTTTTTCTATTTATCCAATATATTTCTTTTTGATATAGGGGACTGGCTTAAGTTCTTTATATTGCCAGAAAATTGAAAAACTCAAACAATATTTTGAAAAAAGATATTAACTCTTTTATTACAAAGTTAGTCACACAAAAAAGTCACAAGAAGTTAATCACAGAGAATAATTCTTTCTGCATTCTTTTGAAATATGTTAAAAATTCAAAATCAGTAGGATATTTTGTATAAGATTGTTAAGTAAGAAAGGTTAAAAAAAAATAATAATAATTTCAAATTTCAAATTTTTATCAACACGTGTCAAAAATTTCATTTAAATTAATGAGAATTTAATGATGATAATAACATTGAAAAACAAATTTAAACGTTTTTCCTACCTTTAAGATTGAACTAAGTGATTCAGTATTTCCACACGTTGCAGTTAATTGCGCTTGCTAACGCATTTA